TATATATTTTTTATCAAAGTGCCCAGCCCCACAAACTGCTGCAGGAATCAGGGCGATGCTCAGCTGTGGTACCAGGAGACCCAGCCTCCTTGCTATAGATGTGGTGGTGTCGTAGCAGACATGTTTGTCTCTTCCTCACCAAATTTTGCAAATCGAGAAAGCTGTGAAATACACAGGTCACAAAATGCATCTTTCAGCAGCATGAAGCTTGGAAATGTCTTGCTCCTCTGTGGAGTATTTCTTGCCAGATATCTTGTGCTTGCTAGAAGCATCTGGTCCAGCCATCAGCTGACACCAGTGGCCTCTCCTGAATGGGCTTGTGAGCAAAGACAGCTCCTGCTTTGCAGCTGCTGGATGGATTTGGGTGGTTTTCCTTCTGGTGATTTTCTACTCAGAGGAGCAGACAGTGTTAGTGCTGGGATGCTTCTTCCCACTCCATCACTCCATCTTTGGGAAGACCAGGAGTCTGCTTCATTCACACACACTCTTAACTGCCACATGCTTCGACTTTGCTCATCTAATTAATGCCTTACCTTCAGAGTGAAGTGTCCAAGTTGCGCCGCGCAGTGCTGGGGGTAGAAGGAAGGGTATACTTGAACCTCCACACACCTTTAAATTCTCCCCCAGCCTGGCATGGCCAACTTGAAAATCTGGGAAATTAATTAAGAGTCAGCATCCTGACTTTCCCTTTGCTGTTAAAGGAGAAAATAGCTCCCTGCTGTAAAAATCTGCTTTGTAACACCTGCAGCAAGTAGATTTTGTGACAAGCTCTCAACTGAAAACCTCTGCAGATACAAACCCCTGAGATACAAAGCTTGAAATCCAAGAGAGGTAAAATGACCTCTCTCGGACACACCTATGCCTAGGCACCTCTGTAAGGAGTGTGTAAAGAATACTATTCATGCTTGAACTTCTTCCATCATTGTGCTTGGGATTTGGCTTGCACGAGACCTTTGGACAACAAGATATTGAGACATTTCCTTCTTTTACAGAGTAACCTCAAAGCTATTAGACCCATCTACTGAGAAAGCTGTAGGACTGCACTGGTTTACAGCTTTTCCCAGTTCACCAGTGCAAGGAGCTCCCAGATTACATGGGTACTTCATGACACTTGTTTTTCCTCAGCCAGCAGCAAGATGCAGCTAATTCTCTGCCTGCTGCCTGCTCCACATGTGACTCTCTGCTCCTGGCTCTTCATTAGTGGTTGACTTCTGGCTAATTTTCCCATTATTTTTCCATTCAAAGGAACAGAATTCAGATAATCTCTAGGCTGAAATAATAGCAATTGCAACAAGAAAAGTAGGCAATTGTATCTTGTCTCTGACGTCCCTTATCACTGTGTTTATCTCACAGATAGCATGTTTGCAGAGACCATGACCACTGCCCGTCTCAGCTCTGCCCGTCTCAGCACTTGCCTTCCTCAGAGCAACCATGATTCAGCCAATTTCAATAACAACGAACTGGAGAATAACCAAGTGGTGGCCAAAATTGCAAACCTAAACCTAAGTCGGGTACCAGGACTTGCGACAGACAACCACATCATCCCCTGTTGCCCGAACCGGCGGCAACATGCCCATGGAGTCCCAGCCTTCCTGGACACAGACCTGCGATTCCATCCCACCCGCGGACCTGACGTCACCTTTTCTCAGGACCGGATGGTTGCATGCACCAACTGGCAAGAAAGCAATAGGACTTTGGTGTTTTCTGACCGGCCTTTGCACATTGGTGAAAGCCTCTTTGTGGAAGTAGGACATCTTGGGTTGCCATACTATGGGGCCCTTTCATTTGGCATCACTTCTTGTGATCCGAGTACTTTACGGACAAATGAGCTCCCAGCAGATCCAGACTTTCTCTTGGATCGCAAGGAGTACTGGGTGGTTTACCGAGCGTTCCCGGTCCTCAACAACGGCGACATTCTCAGTTTCATGGTCTTGCCGAACGGGGAGGTGCACCATGGGGTGAATGGAGGCAGCCGAGGGATGCTGATGTGTGTGGACACCTCACAGTCTCTCTGGGTGTTTTTTACCATCCATGGTGTAATTAACCAGCTCAAAATACTGGGTAAGTGCAGCCAAATGGAATGATAATGGGGAGCACGTGGCTGGTGGAGTTTCCTGGGCCAGAACAGGAGCTAGGGGTTTGCATTCGCTGTGTTCTCTTTAGCAGGTGGTCACTGATGTGAGGAAGCAGCTCCTGCTCTCACCTGGTGTTTGCAAACAAGGATGTGTGAAACAGGATGGCTCTCGTGCATGTATGCAAGCCTATACAAGTACCCCAGGAAAAGATGATACTCGAGAGATAAAATAAGCAGCAGGCAGGGATGGCTGGGGGGACACAGCTGGTTTTCAGGTTGTTTTTGAAAGGAATTCTTTATAAACCCACTATTCCAGCCAACTGGAACTCCTGCCTTGGTAAGGGCAATGATTTTTGTGAGCACAGCTCTGGTTTAATCACGTGTGCTGCTGATAGATGATAATCTCTCCCCAAGCACTGCCACAGCTTGAGTATTAGATGTAATTTCAATTTTGATCTGTTGCTGGTGACCAGTTACAGTGCTTCTCCTTTCCTCTTGTTAAGGATTCTATCAGAAAAGCAGACTTCGTAAATCAAGTTTTTCTCATTTAAAGCAATGCCCTTTCCCAGCTGCCACTGAGACAATGGTAGCTAGAGGCCATTGCTACTGGAGAAATCAGGACCTTGGGGAAAGGACTTTACACCCTAAACAATGGATGTCAGATAACCTAGTGCTTGCTTTACTAATGCACTGATCAGACATTGTACAATGGCATAGTGAGGTCCAGGTCCTGGAGGTCTCATCCAAAATCATGCACTTGCATCATAATTAAAGGCAGCACTTAACCCAGCAGCTGGGCTTTACCCTAAATCACCCTGCATACGTGGGGTGGGAGCAACCCACCAAGCTGAGGGGCTGAGCTTTGGGTGTTCAATGGTGCTGCGGTGGGCTCAGCTCTCTCCTGTGTTTGCAGGCACTGTGCAGTCCAGCCCAGGGACCGTCTCTCCCTCAGGATCACCCGGTGGCTCACAGTATGACAGCGACTCGGACATGGCCTTCAGCGTGAACAGGTCGTCGTCTGCTTCAGAGTCATCACTGGGTAAGGAGAACCCGTGTGCCAAGACAGGGATCCGAGTGGGCAGATGGTGCTGGGGCTACACGAGGCAGCAGGGCAGGGTTGTGGAGGAGATGTTACATCTCCTACAAGGCCAACAGAAATAATTGGAAGGAAACAAAGTGGTGGGAAGATTTTCACGGCCTGAAGAAAGGCTGCGTGTTGCTTCCCACTTTGCCTAATGAAAGCGGTCCCTGCAGGGCTGCCCTTTCTGGAGCAGCAGTGCTGCAGTTGTTGGGGGAGCGGTATCATGTCTGGGGGTCTTAGAGCACCCAGACCACTGCTTTCTGCACTGCCAGGGCTCCACTGACAGAGGGATGCCCACATAACAGCTCACATGCTGGTGTTTGGGTCTCAAGCATGTGCTGCTGCCACCCAGCATGGCGGGTGAGATGCAGGAGCACCCTGCATGGAGCGTGGCTCCTTTGGGGAGAGTGGAGCTCTGCACACTCACATCATGAAATGGGCGTGCAAAATCACAGCCCTGCTTGGGGAAGCCCAGGTGAGCTGTGCTTGCCCCATCTGTAGAAAAGGGATGGGAAGCTCTGCCCAGGGCTGTACTTGTGCTACCAATTAGGATACACTGGGGTTTGTTTGGCCAAATGCACCAGGCAATGACTAAGGAAGGAAGAGCCTTACAAATTGACTTGAGTGTGTACTGTACAGTGTCAGACTTGCACTGTCCTGATGACTAAATGATCTCATTCCTTCCTCCTCTTTCACAGTGACCGCTCCCAGCTCCCCCCTAAGCCCCCCCATCTCTCCCGTCTTCCCCCCTCCGGAGCCATCAAGCAGCAAGAACGGGGAATGCACTGTTTGCTTTGACAGCGAGGTGGACACGGTGATCTACACCTGCGGACACATGTGCCTCTGCAACACCTGCGGTCTTAAGCTGAAGAAGCAGCTCAACGCCTGCTGCCCAATCTGCCGACGGGTCATCAAAGATGTTATTAAGATATACCGCCCGTAGCGCCCGGCTCGGGCGGTAGGAAGGGGGAAGACCGCTAGCAGTAACCATGCCTTTCCGTCCCTGCTTATGGGTTATCGTGCTGGTCAGTTGTTATCAAGTGGCTCGTTATCTGTGTTTCCTTATTTGATTGGTAGGGCACAATTCAGGGATCAAATTGAGCTGAGGATCACGTGGGGCCCAGAGGCACGGCTGCCGTGCCGGCCAGGCTGTGTGCCCATGGGCGAATCCGGAGAATCGCGGTCTGGATCCAACCCAGCTGCAAATGAGAAATTTCCCATGCAAAGGCTCTTTTTTTGCCTCCTCCTCTGGGGGAGGAGGCTCTTGCTGTGGTGCGTGTTGGGAAGGGGAGGTTGCCACTTACTTGGTCAGTGCTGGTGCCACTGGGCTTCCCAACCCCAAAACCCCAACACCTCTGGGCTGTTGCTAGATGCTTGCACTGTGGTGGGATAAAATTAGGACAAGGCCCAGTGGGAGGGTTTATAGTGGACAAAACTGATCTGGAAATGCCATGTTCATCCATGTAAGGGGAATTAGCTGAGGCCAAAATAGTAGCACAGACAGATTCTCTCTTGTTTGGGTTTTGCCCCCCTTGAGCAGGCTTCTGGGTCACGTAGAGAAGCTAGCCTGGCTTTAGATAAAGCAGCTTAGATAAAGCGGCTTTTGCTTTTCTGTTGCAGAGCAGGGACTTTTGGGCAGTGAGGCTGAGACCCATGGAGCAGCCACAGGGTAGCAGTGAGGCGCATGAGCCCACTGAGAGCCCCAGCTGCTGCAGCAGCAGTGATGGAGCAGCGACCAGCAGCAAAGTGCTGTTCAGGCACTGCCATATGGCTGGCTGCTGAAGCCATTGAATTGCAGCCTGTGGATGAGCAGGGTGTTTGGATGGGCACACTGCAATCCTGGCTTAGAAAAAGCACGGAGCTACCATCATCTGCAGCGATGGTGTTTGTCATTTCCAGGCACACATGCCTGTGTTTTCCTCTGCTCCTCTTTACAGGTGGTGTAGCTGCCATCTCACATTATCCTGCCTGGCTCACCTCCTGTAGCCCTTTACCTGCTGCCAGCACCGCAGCAGGGCTCAGCCTTCCTTCTGCCCACCATAGGGACTTTTTGGAGCCCATGGTGAGAAACTGATTTCTATCCCAGTCCCAGCAGGCTTACCTTTTTACTAGGGACTGTGTATCTGCTGATTTTACCTGCTCTTTCTCATGCCTTTCCAGGTTTCCCGGCACAGCTCCTAGCTGCCCAGACACTAGGTCCCAACAATAGATGAGAACTTGCTGAGATGAACAGGGACCTATCTCACTTGGCTTTACTTGGGAAGAGAAATGAAAAAGGCTCTGGGACTATTAGTAGATGTTGGGCCTTAAAAGGTAAATGGGTTTCAGCTGTGGTATTAGCTACAAGCAGCAGCAACCTGGATGAGCCAGGCAGCATTTGAGCATGCAGTATTGGTGCTGGTTTGAGGAGCTTGGTGTCTTTCCTGCTGCTCCTGCAGGAGCTACCCTCTATTCTCCGTCCTCTGCCCACTTGTGTGGCTCCTGTCCAGCCCTTCAGCCTGCACCTGGTTGGTCTCCAACTGGTCCAGGTTTGTAAAGAGGGGAAGAGAGAGGATGCAAGTGGTAGGATAAGAGAGGGGCTGGTGTCATTCTAGCTCGGTGACCATGTGCCACCAAGTGCATAGAAACAGCCTTCCTCAGAAGGGTGCAATTACTGCATTTTTGTCCAAAAAAAAAAAGGAAAGAGAGAATAGCAACCCCTCTATATTCAGGGTTTCTGGGCCCAGAGGGGCAGCCTGACATCGTTGGTGTCTGTCACCTTGCCTTGCCATTTACTCTCTCCTCCAAGATGCCGTAGCCATGGGTGCGCTGCCATCTCTCGCAGTGCCGATGGATGGTGGTGCTACTAGTGCTGCACTTGTTGCTGACTGGCACTTTGCCCCATCCCAGCCCTGCTCCACCATCAGGAGGGTACACTGAGGAGCAGCTCATCCTCCTCCCGCAGCGGCTGTGGCTGCCAGCTCACAGGGCACGGAGAAAACCTTTGTGTTTTTTTATCTTGAAGAGCTAAATAACATATTTATTCCGTGTATAAATGAGAGGCTGCTGTAGAGTGAGATCTCTCACCCACTGCCCTGCTGCATCGGCATGAGAGCCTTCTGGCTTTCCAGAGCCCTTTAGGGAAACTTGGCTCATGCCACTGGCTGTGATGCTGCCGAGCATGCCCAGCCCTCAGCAGAGCCACCGGCACTGCAGCTGTGGCATGATTTCACTTACACCTTTGCAAAAGGTGGCAGCGAGGGCAGCTCTCCAAGCTGGAGCTTTGTCCAGCCCCTTTGCCCAGGGACCGCAGACACTGCCTTCACAGAGACCTCCCTGGTCACGCCGATGGCAGATCGGGGTCTAGCTGTGGTCAGTGGGCACAGCACTAAGAGCACGATGACGGCAAAGTATGTGAGCATGGGATGAAAGGCCAGGTTGGGTTGGCACCTGCCTGGTGAGCAGGCTGCAGTGGGAAGCCTTTGCATGATGAGGAATTTAATGGAAGTTGTCTGAATCCACAGTGAATGATGCTAGCTTGGGTCTGGTCTGAGCTAGGAAACATCAGCAGCCATCCCTGGGGCTGCTGTCCTGGTTTCAGGGGTGTCTGGTCCCTTGCAGTGGGTGCACAAGCAGAGCCCATGTGCTTGGCTGACACCTCAGGTCCTCAATGAATGGCGCTAGTTGCATGCCTGGGGTGGGGTTTTTTTGGTGTAGCTTTCTTTCCTTTTTTGTGCTTAAATCCAGCAAGGAGAAATACTGGATCCACCCCAGGCTGTGTCTGAGCTGCTCGGGACACATTGCAAATGTTCTATTTTTGCTGTAGCAGCTGAGTCCCATTTCCAGAAGGGCAGCATCCAGAGAGACAAGCAAGGGAGGCAGCTCAGTGAGGGGCCATGCAGCGAGTGGGATGCAAGAGCAGTGGACACGTCGCCCTGCCTATCCGAGAGCAACAGGAATGTTCCAGAATAGGCCTCTTCTTAACAAAAGGATTTCCAGGAAAAGGTAGCCTCTTACAGATTTAATTGTTAGTACTCGTATTGCTATTTTTTTTAAACAGTCCAATGATATATGATTTGTACAGAAATCTGTTTGTGCCTTATAAGGGTGTCCGTGCACTTTTTATCCTTTTTAAAGCAAATTTTAAAAAGAAAAAAAAAAAAATCCGGGGGAGAAAATAACACAGATCAATGGTAGTTTTATAGAATTTTGTGTTCACTGAGAATCCTGCTTTTTTATATATATATTGGAGTGAAAAAGTGTTTTATTTCCATGGATTTCCCTTCCCTCTCCTCCTAACCTATTAGTTTAAAAATTTACGAAAGGAAGAAAGAAATAGAAGAGATGGAGGAAACTCTTTTACCTTCCCCCTTTCTGAGAAAGTTACTCTCCCGTTGTTACCTTTATGATTCAGTACTGTGACCTGTACATCATGTTGAAGCTGAATCAGATTTTGGACCTCTGTATTAGGCTTTTCAAGCAAATCATCTGGGGGACCTGGGGGGTGGGAGGGCATCGCACGAGGGAGGGAACTGCACTTCTACATGTCAGTGCTCTATAGCGTTGTGTTCAGTGCTGTGTGTTTTACTTTTGTCCATTTATCTGTTTTACATTAATATAATTTTACTTATGAAAACAATAAAACTTTGGCTCGTAAAGCGTGCTCCTGGATGTTTAACAGTGTTTGAACTGGAGGGTGAGTAAATCCTTTATTTCCAAAGCGTGGCACTATTAATACACAGAGGCAGGGCACCTCTGTTCAGCTCAGCTACCTCTGCTTCAGAAAAATCAATGTCAGGTGCTTCAAATACCTTGCATGAGCTTTGTGCTGCTCTTCAGAGGACACTGCACAGCGGCTGCACAGTCCCTTCATGGGCAGGGCAGGGTAGGGGGGATTCCTGGCTCATTTAACCTTGCAAAACCTTCAAAGTTGGGCTGCTCACTGCACTAAAAGCAGGGTGTCTGGTGGCAATGCCCTCTCCAAGTGCCCTGAATTCCTCATCCCAACTTGCACTATACCAAGCAAGGCAGCTGCCAGCCTGGCCCCGCTCCTGTGCCTTTGCTGGGGCTGTGGCAGCCTGGGGACCACGGTGGCTTGGCCAGGTAAGGGGTGATGCAGGCACAGACAGGAGGGCTGCTTTTTCATTTCTTCTTTTTGTCTTTTTTTTCTTTTTCTTTTTTTTTGTTTTTTCTGGTTTTTTTTTCTTAATTTTTTGTTTGTTTGTTTGTTTTTATTTTGGGGTTTTTTTGTTTGGTTTGTTGCACTGCCTGCCTCTTTATTTCACAAGCAGAGGCAGGCAGAAGGCTGCTCTTTAAGCTGTTTATATCTCTAAATGTGACCAGCTGAAGCCAGACACTAATCAGGCAGCCTCAGATGTGGTCTAAAGCAGGGTGGAAGAATCCATTCATAACTCTGCCCTGGCAAGAACACAGCCACAGTTAAGTGTTTGCATGAAAAATCTCACAAGCCGCAGGTGGCAAAGGAGCATGATGATGGCTATTTATGTCAAAAGGCCCTTTTATAAACTCTGCTGCCTCAGTTTACCCAGAGAGCTGATCCCTGCGAGCTGCCAACAGACTAATACTGCCAGTCTCAGGCCACAAGAGACTTTGCACCACTCTTAGCATTAGTGTAAGGCTCTGCTCCAGCTGCTGCTGGCCCAAGCCCTGGGGAGAGCATGGAGGACCACTGCCCACTCCCATCCCCTGCACCTGCAGCTCCCCTGCCCGCAAGTACCAGCCCAGACCAAACCTCCAGTGGATGAGAAGCCCCTTTATAGCATTCTCCCAGCTCAAGTGCAAAGCAATGCCCGATGACGCCCAAACCTCCAGCCCCGCTCAGGATCTGCATGGACTAGGTGGGTTATGGCCACCTGAAAGCCAGGGAATGAGTGGAAAAGGCTTACCTGTCCCAAGCTCGGCAGCAGTGAACTGAGCCAGTAGAAGATGCTCTTCCATGTCCTT